ACATTATTGTGAAATCTGACTTATGTCCATTTCTACAAATGTAGATTAACTTTAATCCCGGTTTAGTTGATTTTTTATCTTTTACTAGTCTTAAGAATTAGAAAAGGATAATAAGTAAGTTAAACGAGATTAAAGTTAATCTATATTGGATAGAAATAGACATTATTGCGTTTATAATATTTTCTGATTTCCACCAATGTAGATTAACTTTAATCTCAGTTTAATTTATTTTTATCGTATTTTAATTCTTAGAACTAGATAAAGATAAAAAGTAAGCTAAACCGAGATTAAAGTTTATAAACATTGCTTAGAAATTGATAGAAATGGACATTATTAGAGGGCAACTTCGAAGGGCGATTAACTTACTAATGCAGCATTTTTTAGTATTTTATGAGAATTGCAGTATTTACTTCTGATTATATGTAATAACTTTATTTTGATAGAATTGTTCATTCTTTTATTGTATAATACCTGCGAAAAAAACTAAATTTACTGACAAAGAGAAGTGGGACGCTTTTTTTAAAACACTTGAATACTTGAGCTAAAGACGAAGAGACATTAGTGTAAAAAAAAAGTATATTGTAAATGAATATTTTTTAAGGGAGAGCGAGTGTTTTGCGAAAATTTTTCTTTATCTGAAACCGATCGTATTTCGCGCACAAAAAATATATCTCTTGGAAATAATAACACTTTGTGCTTTTGTATTAATTCGAATGTATAATTCCGGTCTCTCATAAGGTTTTGTATTTGTAGAGAGAAAATTATCATACGCAAATAAACGTATGTTTCCAAAAAGCTATCGTTTTTCGCTGTGCTCAACATAAACGCTTTTCACTGATGTTGTTTTATACATGTTATACATATCGTTATTCTCTGTAAAATTTACGATAAACTCGATTCAACGCGTTAATGTACGTTAATGTACATTAAAAGCTGCGATGATAAAATACTAATTAACTATCTAAAAGAGGCAGGTGTATAATATATTGAATATTTCAAACCTAGCATATCATTTTCCATTTTTGAATGCTATTTATTTACTCATTTATTTATACCGTAATTATATTCTATCTATAAATTCTCTCTCTTGGAAACCAAGTATTCCAGATATATCATCTTCCACTCTCAGATGCCATTACTCTTAGTTATTTATATATCGCGGTTATATTTTCTATAGATTCTGCGACTAATTGCAGTCGTTTTTCAAGAAAAGTTCTTCGAGAGGCGGCTGAAGTTTTGAAGTTACAAAACGATCAGGGAACATTTCTCGGGGAAAATGAGCTTCGAAAGGTGCAAACAAGTGCGCAATTTGGAACGGACGCGACGCGAAGAAAAAGTTGATCGATAAAATGCCAAAACAACGTCATCGCCTTGCGTGCAACCGTTTAATGGCAGTTCGCCCGCGTTAATTACCGGAATTTCACGTATATTTTTCGCCTTGATCGGTAACGCTACGCCTACGAGACGAATGCGTGCGCGTTAGCGTTCTCGGATTACATCGCTGTCGCAATGGTGATTATCTCTGTGGGAACGTCGCGCTTGGGTATCGAGCATCGAGTAAAATTCGAACCACTGCGAAGAGGACGCCGGCAACTAACAATGGTATCGCGTGATTACGCGTGCATTCCGCTGCGTGCACTTACATACGAGCAGGAGAGAATAGAGAAGTGGGGAGAAGGGTGGGGAGAAGAGGATGATTACGCAAGACTACATATGCCGCATGTCGCTCGATCGCCTGATGATAATCGCGGGTAAGGTTTATTCGTGACGATCTCGACGTGAGGTGTGAATTGGAGCGCAATGGAAGCTGCAGCGGGACGATTTCTTCTCCTGATGGCAATCTTGTCTCTCGCGACGTAAGATAGTGACGTTATGAATATTTAAATATTTCTGCTTGTGAAAGGACCCATTATAAATTTTTTAACATATCAAGTTATGATTGTAATTATAATTATATTATAATTATAATGTAACTATAATTAATATCTTATAACTTATAACTACAATAGACCTCCATATATTAAAATGTTTCTATCGTGTTATATGAACCAGTGTTACATGAGGATTTACTGTATATAACTAAATTATAAATGTATTTCGAAGATATATATCGAAAGTGCAAAACAGATGCATTTATTAATGCAATTAACCTCGATAATATATGGATAAAATGGAAATAATCTTTCACTTTAGTCACGAAGTTATTAATCTAATGTAAAGCACATGTTCCTTTCTCTTGGGAATGATTAATTAATTCGCAAATCCAGTAAATTTCTTTAAAGTGTATAATTTTATTCTCACAATTGATCTCACGATTGATTATTGCGATATTGTACTTAAAAAAAATTGTACCCTATACCAGACAAGAGGAAATCGCGGAGGGTGCGTGCAGTTGCGCGGTGTTCCCTGTTCCGGGAACGAAGTCGATAATAGAGCACACGCTGAAATACAATGTGAGCTGCAATGAAGAAGGCGCTGAAAAGTGTCAACAATTATGTATCGCCTTAGTGAGTATACCTTCATACTATTTCCGTACCATTTCCGCTGCCTGTTTTATACATCATTTCTTCATTGACTGCGAAAAACGTGTTACTTATTTTTTAATCGGGAATATACGTGTGTTAAATAATTTTAGACAGCAATCAGTGACACACGCTCGAGCACGTTAGTTAGCGGTTAATCGAAGAAAATAAAGAAGTACTGAAACTAATTAAGAAATGATGTCAAAACTGATATACGTTTCCGTGTTTAGGCTGAAGGTTCTCGAGATAAGACACCAATGCTGATTTGCGAGAAACAGAATGTGCATGTCGAAAATTTGAAGGTAAGCGGTATAATACATTTTACATACGTACGTGAGACAAATCTCGTTTAAAAAATTCAGAGTAGAAAAAAGCTTCTCTTTGCACGTAATCTTTATCTTCATGAAAAAGCGAACAGTGACGCATAAACACCGATTGGGGTCACGTGTGTAAACGGGAATAATAAAACCATATTATTTCGCGCGAATGAGACACGATTGCATCGCTTCGGTTATTTCGTTCTTTTGATGTTTTTTTTTTAGGTGGTAATTTTCACAGTAATAGAACGACGCGTTTTGTTATTTCATCTTTTTGCTTTTCACAGGTGGCCGTATATATGAAATCGTGTAACACGGCTCTGTGGACACTCACTGGTTTGGAGAGCATCGAGCCCATTTGCTGTCACGAAGGGAAGGCAGTTATTTGTGACGAGGCGATGTCGATAATAGAGAATTAACGAGCTCTCGCATCCAATTCATTATTCTCCGCTTATTTTCACCACCAACGGGTATATCTTACTATTGATTACATAATAACGTGCGCGGTGTAATTAATACAAAATACACCACTGTCTGTTATGTTAACACCATTATACGCGTATTAATTTCTAGCTTGATATTTTCGCAATTAGTAATTTTCTGCAGATTTATAAGATTATCGTAAGAGTATTATGTACAAATAATAAAGTACGCAAACAACAATAGCAGGTCGGAATTTATGTAGAATTCAAAGAATGCCGTTTCGGGAGCACTACCCGATATGCATTTATATCCTTTGTTCTCCTCACAAAGCTCGGATGCCGAGACTGAGACTGCCAAGAAGTCTATCTGCCATTGAAGTCTCTATACAAATGCTAAAGCTCGAGCTTAAAATACAATAATATCGGTACTAACACAGTTCCGAAATGCCTGACTTTTCGCACAACGAAAAATTTATTTGCGCCCGTCAAGTTTATATCCTTATAAAGTAATCATGCAAGTTAACTTTAATTTACGAATGATAATAAATCATCAATGAAGAATAGAGGCGGAATTTATTTTACAAATAATATATATTTTTAGCAAAAAAAATAACTTAATTATCATTAAGAAAGGATTTATTTTAAATAGAGAATCAGGTGTACCATGCACTAATTCGCGACAATTAATTTTACGAATCCTGCTCGGCAAGTTTAAAGTTTTTCCTTAATAAAATATTGCTCGGAAAAATTACTCTATATAATTTGCGATATAAATTTAAGAATTATTAAAAGTTTCACAAGCTTATATACAACTACTTAAATTGAAAAGTTTCTCTCAAATCTTTACATTTCAAGGTTATTATTTAAAAAACTCGCAAACTTGCAACAAAGCGATGTTTTCTCCCGTGGTCTTTCCATTTAATCCTGTTTCAGGTTTTCAATTTGCCAATTCAATTCAATTCTACGTTCTCTTTTTCTACCATTCTTTTATCTATCACGAAAGCAAGCCGAACAAAACAATCTCTAATAGACATCTAATAAAATCAAATAGAAAGCACTTACAGACACTTCAATTCTTCACCAGATGTGTATATTGGATTCTGATGCCTTATATAAAATTTTAATTAGGTTTCTGCTTTATGTTACAAATTTAATATACAATAAAAATAATTAAACAGCTTCTTTTACCGCAGTTTTTAAACGATACAAAACGAAACGTGCGTTCAATAGAAATACACTGCTCTCCACATTTTTCCACGATATTACAAGCTCCGATTATCGGCAGAGATTTAATCCTACTTGTGCTCTCGCGTATCTAAAAGTCAAAGCTCAGTTCGAGGCCGAGCACGCTTGAAAGGATTACATATACGGTATTTGTTCGCGGACCCGAATCTTCTTTCGCTGAGTACAAACGCCACGGCCGATTGTACTGGGTGTATCGTCAAATGTGGAAATCGTGCGTGCCTCGACGAAGTCGATTCTCTCTTCGACAGTGATTCCATCGGACTCGTTAGTGTCTAATCGAAAAACGTTTTAGCGTTAGGAATAACATTAAGGGTCGAAAGCTTACGCCCGATCAGGTCTCAAGTGACAGAGATATAATGAGATCTTGCTTCTCAGACAATTTCCTCTTGCCCTAACGGGGATTTAATCGGCTCAAGCGCGGAAATATTGAACTCGCGTAAGCATCAATAAACGATCGTCTTCGATGAAAGTTTCGCCGAGGCGGAACAATGGATTTCAAAATTACGTTTCGAGCGTATTCGAATTCGCGCGTTCCATTCCATCCCGTATACGTCAAGCCGATCTCCGATCGAGGAACATGAACGCGGCCGCGTCCGTTGCACACCGAGACTCGAGATACCTTCTATTTCGACGATGGCGTTCTCAGAGTCTTGTCCCAGAAGCCGCCGCCATTGAACGGACGGTTTGTTATCTCTTTCCCGTCTCCACCCTCGACTTCCTGAGGACGGGTCCTCCTCCGAACTCCAACGGGCT